TATATCCACATTATTTTCTTACCCAGTAGAACACTTCATTCTTTTCACTTGGATTACATAGGGGGAAAAATGTTAAAGAAGAATGCCAACATAGAAATTGGATAGTCTTAAAGGCAGCTAGAGTATTAAAATCTGAAGTTAGTGGGAGACGAATAATTTGAAGGGATGTATTTTCAATAAATAGCTGTTTGTGTCCAGGCATGAAAAATGTTCAGGTAGAAAAAAAAACTGAAGAGTTTTCCATCTTTCTTACTGTGATTTAATAAAAAAACTTTGAGACATCATGTTTTGTATTTCTAACTGATGTAAGTGATTTGGGATCTCAAGTAAAATAATATATTTCTTAACAATTGAAGCCCCAAAGTGAAAGCTGTATGTGAAAACTATGAGAAAGCCCCCTGACCACCACAAAAAAATGGGAAAGAAAGAATTACATTGTGAGATAAAAAGGAAAGGAAAGAAGATAAACTGCTTCAGAAAATAATAATCTTCGGAACCCAAAATATTGTATTTCTGTATGTTAATCCTATTCAAATTTTAAGTCAATAGCAAAATAAGACTTTAAAAACTCAGCTAGTAAGTAGGAATTAAGTCAACTAATAAATCATTAATACACTGAATAATTGGGACTTGTATATTACATAATATTTAACATCTAATGATAAGTATGATGAGGAAGAGGTATAAGAATCTACATGCATTCGGCGAACCTACTTATTTGAGTGTGGAATTGGTATTACTAATAGGGAGAAGGGCTGGATATTGAAATTCATCAACTCAGCAAATAAAGACTAAATTAAGATTTTGTTTTATTTAAAGTTTGGTTTTACCAGAGTTCCATTTTATTTCACATACCTCAAATGCTTATTTTATCATTTATGAATGGCTATTTTTCCTCAATATAGTAAAAAAAAATTAATCTGCTCATAATAGAATCAATTGTGTGTTTCACTTGGACAATATAGTAGAAATATAATATATTTTATTGTTTTATTTATGATGTAAAGGAGGCTTAATAGCCTCTCCCCCTTATCAAAATTTCAGAGGGAATATAGTTCTCAAAGAAATGATGAGAAAGAAGGCTAAAAGAAGAAAGTTTAAATTAAAAAATATAAAATAAATAATAAGGAAGAAAAAATAAGATAGTAAAGTTAAAAGTTCTTAAAAGTTCTGAAGATCAATAGGCCATTATCCCTACATCAGTATGGAGATTACAGATTTGGGCTGGGACTGGATGGATTTGCTAAAACCTTGACTTACCAATTACCTAGCTATTGTTCCATTAACAAACTCACCTGCAAGATCAAAACAGTGGTACTATGACATCACTTTTTACTTCAGGGATAAAAATTCATAATGTAAAAGTATACTTAGTAAAGAAATTTGGAAACATTTACTAGATGAGTGATATTGTCATAAATGGAATTTTAAGGACAAAATCCAGTGGGAATAAAAATCTATTAAAAAATGCAAGCAGAGTATGATGATTGTTACAATAGAACTACATATGTGATGAAAGCTTTAGGAAAAAAGATTAATTTCAGTTGGTGAAAATGACAAATATTCCATGGAGAGGTAAACTTTACATTACTTTTGAACTTTCTTACTTGATTAGGAATTGGGTGGAGGGAATAGGGGGAGTAGGGAAGGCACCAAATTGAACAAGTCATATATACAAAGACTTGTGTGTGTTTGAGGGGTAGGAGAGGAGTTTATAAAAAAATTTGATGAATAGTAAGTAGATTCTTTAGTGAGAGGATAAATCCATGAGTGAGGGTAGTAGGAAGGAAGATGTAAGAAAAAAGGCAGAAGAGAAAGAACATTAAGAAAAAAATGGAGGTTTCTCAAAATAGAAAATATATATCTGGCATAAGATCCAGTAATTCGCTCCTAAGAACATTTATGAAGAAGATAAAAGCAATAATTCAAATTAATAGCCAAGGTATGAAAATAACATAAGTACCCAAGGACAAACTAATGGATTAAAGAAAATGTAGTATATTTGCACAGTGGAATACTAGTCAGCTATAAAAAGATGAAATCTTGCCATCTGCAACAATATAGATGAACCTAGAGGGGGTTATGCTAAGTGAAATAAGTCAGAAGGAAAAAGACAAATATTAGGTGATTTTACTCAAATGTGGAATATAAAGGAAGAAAACAAAGGAACAAACAAAACTAAATGAAAACTAACCCTAGAAAACTGACTGTAGAATTGAGATTATAAGAGGAGGGTGGCCTGTAGGAAGCAGAGGGTGTAGGAACCCAATTGTGGAGATTATAGGTGCTTTGGTGATGAGTATGGTCTGGTAACACACATCTGAAGAGGTGCCAACCTATACCCTTAAATCATATAATGTGTTACAAACCAATGGATTAAATTTTTTTAAATAAAGAAACATGGGAATAAGTCAGAGCCAAATCACAGAAAACCTGGAATATCATGCTAAGAATTTTTTCTTCTCTAGGACAGTAAGCAAGAAAATCAAGCAGCTCTATTGACTAACTCTTGAGACATTTCATCTTCCTGCTCCAAAATGTATTATGTGCTTCCAGACAACATACATCTAAACTATCAACTTCATTCTTTGGGAAGAAGTTTAATGACTGAACACAAGCTAAAATGTTTCTTTGTTACAGATAGGCAAGACATGCATAAGCAACAGGATTAGAATGGATGGGCAGGAAGGTGGATTCGGCTTATTTCTTACTTAAAGCAACAAAATCAGATCTAGAACAAGAGATTGACATTAAATACTGCAAAATAACAGTATTTCAAGGGTAGATGTTTTCTGTATAAATAAGTATATATAAGGTGCTTAAAAAAAGTTGCTTGATAAAATTTGCAAAAATAAGAAGAGGTGGAGATGACTCATGTTGCTGTTTCAACTAGTTTTTATTATTGCCAAAAGCATAAACATCAGAATGAAAAATGAAGTCCCGTTAAGGATAAGTGAGGATAGTGAGAACTAATCATAGCAACTATCTCAATGACATGGAAGGTCTTGGACATTTCCAAAAACAACTCCTAACAAGTCCACCCCTTTCTGAACACATACTACTTCTCCCATAAGAAATAGAGCTTGGGGGCCTCCCTGGTGGCACAGGAAGTTAAAATGTAACCTATGAGGCTGTCTGCAGTCACTGCAACATGAGTTCGATCCTAGGCCTGGGAGATACCCACATGGCACAGCAGACCTCTCCTGACTCACCCACTGCTCTCCTCAGAAGTGTATTTCAGTACATCTGTCTGTTGTGTTCCACACTCTGTCTCTGGTGAATTCTTTAACCTCCCCTACTCTGGCCTGTGCCCAGTTCTTGTATGCATAAATAAATAAATCTTTAAAAAGAAAAAATAGAGCTTAGCTTTGTTGATTTAAGCAAAGTTTGTGACTATTTCAATGCATAGAATTTGAGGAAAACAACATTCTATTACTCTGGATCTCAGACATTAAGAAGATCTGGCAGCTTGCATTTATCCTTCCTGGGAGCCTAGCACCCTCATGTCAGAAATCCAGGCTATCCTGCTGGAGAAAGAAGCCACCTGGGGGAGCCCTTGGAGTTTAAAACCAGATAAAGAATGGAACAAGAAGGATCACTGAGGCCTCAAATATGAAATCCTCAGTACAAACAGTCACCATTTAACCATCACTACAGGGGAGGCCACAAGAAAAAACACTACAGAAATGCCTTCCTGACCACAAACCATCCATAGAATCATGAAATATAATATAGTGATAGCTATTGTTTGTAGAGATTTGTTATGCAACACTATTTAGCTGAAGTAATGTAGATGTTCACTTGTGAACCACAGGGGATTTCAGTATTCTATAAGCTGGAAATTCCCCTAACTTTGAAGAAAAGTACTGGTAACACCCATGCTTTTTCTATCTTACTGATGGAGCTATAGTGGAAACACGTGGTAAAATATGTCAGGTTAAATTAGAATTTCAGATAAACACAACTATAATTTTAATATAATTAATTCCCATGCAATATTTGAGGCATACATGTACTAAACCATGTTGTTATTAATCTGAAATTCAAATATAACTCTGCAGTCAGGTTGTGCTAAATTCCCTCAACTCTTACAGTCCATTAGCCTAAGGGCTGACAGTAGAAGAAGAATTCAAATTAAGGCCATAAAATTGAAAGACTGAAATTTTCTCATCCTTCAAAATTGTTTTTACACAGCTAATATTAGCTGACTGGGAAACATATATTTATTTTATTTCTAAATCTACTTCTGAATTAAAGATTGCTCAGGCCATTTTACTAAAGCTTCCTATTAAACTGTAGTAATATATTGCATTAAAAGTTTAGGTTGAAAAGTTTTCATTCCTCTTTTATGAGTTAATGGTGATCAAATTAAAGCCATGTGTGAAAAAGAACTCATTATTAGGTAATGAAAAGGAGCAAAAGTAAAAGTCTGAAGATAGCTAAGTATTTATATTCCTCGTTGTGCAAAATTTTGACTTCCACATTTAATGAAATCCTTTCTAAAACTATGTTTCTGATGGGTAAGAACTAGTTTTCACCAAAAATTAATTTTGAAGCATCCTGGGAAAAAAAAAAAAAAAGGATATGGGAATAAGTATGACTTCTGATTTAGTTCTTGTCCATTGTAAGCACTAAGATAGTAAACACAGTTTTTAACGTAATGAAATCAATTTGCCAACATTTCTTAAAATCTAACTGTGGCAGCCGCTGATAATGTACTTCATTCAGTCCTCAAAGTCCTGTTACACATAACTGATGGGGCACAGCTACAATTTGAATGTGACTGTCCCTGAAGCTAAATCACCCTCTTTTTTCTACTTTATGTTTGCCACAAAATTGGTTAAGCTATGGAAATGCAGAGAGTATATAGTTATTACTCATGTGTTGTGTTTTTACATTAATTTTAAAAGAACAAAAACAAGAAGTAAATATCATGGAACTGGGGAAAAAAAGGTTCATTTCTCATGAACCTCTATTCCCACATCTCTCTCTTCCTTCACCTGTCTGCGAAGGTCTCTTGTCTTCTTGCACATGTTGTCTATTGCAATATTCAGGGTATTACTCTTTTCCTTTTTCCCCGTCTGCAAGAGAGAAAAAAAAATGCATAAGCTAAGGTATCAAATTACTCTTTATCCTTAGTAGTTTGCTTTCTAAATTTCCTGAAAATAGCTGCTGGAAATTTCAAGAATAGGTTTTAAAACTCTGTAATATTGCATATGATTCATGAGCACTTCACATAAGACTAAGTAGAACAGTGATTAAAGCTCACATTATTTTCTTCTTTAAGCTTCCATAATATTTCTGATACAGGATTAGGTTGTATTCAGTATGGCAGTAGGCAGAACATTATCTCCAAGAAATTCTGATCTTCATTCTTAACAAGTCGACTCTTTAACTGCTAAGCATGCAATTAGCTTAAAAGCATTAGATGCCCAATTTGTCAACTTCTGTGGGAGTTTCTGAAGTCATTTTCATGGTGTATTGTATAAGATATGCAGAGGCATATTGGAGTTTTGCTAAACATTAAATAAAATATGCAGTGCAAATTCATACAATTTGCAAAAGTTGACCACAATTTCAGCTGACAATATTCCAAGAACAAATTGTTTTAAATAAAAACTTGACTCTGTTTTTGGCTCTTTAAGATAATTTGTGCAACACCTTTTCATTCCCTCGGCAGAACAGTTCTCTCTGTTATATCCTTAACCTAAATCTTTAGGCTATTAAGAGCATAGGGAGTCACCTTGGTTGGTATTTTCTACATATTACTTTTGTGGGAGACAGCTGAATTGAATCTAATCATACATTTTTTGTGATACCTTGTATAAAAGAGATTGAAAAAAATCATTATGTGATTCACCTTTAGGAAAATTGCTACTATTCAAATTAATAAACTGAAAAGAACTCTTTAGAGGAGACCTTGAAAATCAGGACATGAGTTTAATAGATGAAAGGAGCTTACAACATGGACTCCACAAAGAAGACATCAAAGTATTGTCCATTAGACACTGTATCACACACGGCCCCTGATAACAAAAATTATACATAAATTCTAGTTTAAAGTGGAAAGATTCCTCTATGGGAAGTTCCAGACTATACCAACCTTTTTAATCCTATCATGTGTCACATTATCTCAAGTACTATCATTACATTAATATTGTCATTTAATTTTTCTATATCTCCTTCCAAGTTGTTACTTATAAAAGTACCTTTTACTTCAGTGTCTCACCAAGCAACCCCTTTTTAAAATACTACCTGATTCTCAATACTATGCACAGAGTTACCTCAACAACAGCTCCAAAGTAAACTCTAACCTCCCCTCATCCTAACAGCATGTTGAAACGCTGCAATATACTTTGTTATTTTCTTTGGGGCATGTTCATTATCATTATGATGCTAGAATCTTGAAAATTACATTTGCAATATGTTTATATTGTGTGTATACATACATATATATAGTTAGCTAGTTGTAACTTACTGGTAATAACTTACTGGTAATAGAGCTTACTGGATCGTGTTGACTAGTTTACAAATGGGCAACTTGATTGAAAGCACGAAATAACTTTATTGGGGGCTTACCATACATCAGGTAGTGTCATATTAGATTTTGGAGGAGATCTTTAGCATTTACCTGTCAACACACTGCTAAAATCCTGTATTAGCTAAAGTTGTGAGGTACCAATTTAAAACTCACATCCATATTTTCTCATCAACAGTGTTACTAATATTTAAGATGAGGAAGATCACCATCATTTAAATAAGTTTTGCATTTATATAACGCAAAATGTTTGGCATCCATGTGCCTCTGTATAGTAAATTTCAATAACCCCGAGAAACTATTATGACAGTAAAAAATAAAAAACAAATTGGCTCTACATATTTCCAGATGTCTCCTAGGGGAGACACAATAGAGGACTTCTAATTATTTACTCCATTTTAATTTTGAGAGTGATTTTACAATGTTTGCATGACAGAGACTAGTGTAAGAAGAGAAAAGAGAGAGGGAGAGTTACGAGAGATAAAAACTTCTGGGATGTCAGAGTATAATAAAAGCAAAGGTGGCCATTGCTCAGATGAATGTTGTGGCTACCTGCACAGCTCTTACGCATCATGCACCTTGTCAGCGAAGAATTGTGGAAAGTTAATTCAGGACTACGTAAGGCAATGAGAAAAACGGATGCACACTGGGTTATAAGACCATTTCTAATTTACCTAAAGAACCTAGCCTTTATTCTCTAGTTTTATGCAATATTAGCTCTTAATTGTACCTCTGTCCATTACATGAAAAAAGAGATAGTCAAAGGGGAATGGGATGAAAGAAGTCACCAAGGACTGAGTCAAAACAGAATGTCCTCCCTCCCCAAACATACATATAGGCCATCAAATATAATATGGGATACTCCTGTTGTGTTAGCCATAAAAAAACTCACAAGTTCTGTGATATGATTCATCAGAACAACTAAAAGATGCCAGTGTTCTCAGAGCTAGCAGTAGTAGCATACAAATCTTTAATAAAGGGTGACAGGAGGTGACAGCATGAAAAGATTCAATAAGAACTATAAAGATGATTTCCTAATTTCTACCCAGAGCTTAACCTTAGTTTAAAATGTTTCACTGGGGGCCTCCCTGGTGGCGCAAGGGGTTAAGACGCAACCTATGAAGCTATCTACAGCCTCTGCAGCTAGAGTTCATTCCCCGGCCAGGAAGCTACCCACATGGCACAGCAGACCTCTCCTGACTTGCCCGCAGCTCCCCTCAGACGTGTATTTCAGTCAGTCTGCCTATTCTGTTTCCCACCCTGTCTCTGGTGAATCCTCTCACTCCCCACACCTCTGGCCTGTACCCCAGTTTTTATATACATAAATAAATAAATCTTATAAAATAAAATAAAATAAAATGATTCATTGGGTCAAAAACATTTTGTACTCTAGGTAATAATAAACAGTCTCTATCATTGCAAGAAATTAAAATTCTCCCCTTCTTTTCTTTTCCCACTCCCCACCCCCCCTTTCTTGTTTTTCACTTTCTGGTTTTTATTGGGTTCTTGATCTATTTATCCAGATTTATTTGGCTTCAGTCAAGCCATTTTATGCCTCTTTATTCCTTTTGCATGGCATAAAAATAAATAAAGCAAGGAGAAATAGTTCCATTCTACTTAAATGCTCTCATTCCTTCTGTTTTCAAAACTTTAGCAAATCATCAGACAATGAGCTAGGACTGAAAGTTGAATTGCATGTACTGAGATGAGGGACAGAAAGGGCAGGATATTAAAGCAGGACTATAGACAACAGCATGTACCTTCCTATATCCCAGGTGCTCAGAGGAGATGATGCTCCTTAGAGGAAATCTTGACAGGGGCCATCATTAAGTGAGGACAGCCGTGCTAATGGAAAAGGAACCACTTACTGTGGAGTGTCAGGGGAAAAGACTCAGAAAACATGGCACAAATCAGCAGTATAGAGGAAAAACAATTGCATTCTTTATCAATAATAAACTTCCAGGAAAGGCTGTATCAAAAACAACAGTTCTGAGCATAGACTTCATCTAGTGAAATTTCATTAAAATTGCTAATGTGTGGTATAATACATACTGCCCTAATGTGATATGGGCTTATAATCTTAACTATGACTCTTGCCACAAATTTTGTCTTACCATTGCTTCCACATAACTAACCACGGTTAATTGCACTCTCTTGTGGTTCCCTTAACCTGCCCACACATTTGGAAAAAGTCTTTTTATAAATAAACTATCCTTGAATTATCCTAATTTGAATGTTCCATCTGTTTTCTATTGGGAATGTGCTGGGGAGAACTTTCAAATACTGTGCTGTCCAGTATGATAGCCATTAATCACATGTGACTATTTGCATTTAAATACAAATTAATTAAAGTTAAATAACATTAAAAATCAATTCCCCACATCCTTAATTTAAAATGCTCAATAGCCACATGTGTCTAGTAGTAATGGAATTGTATGGCACATTTACCTCACTGCAAAAAGATGTACTGGACAGCTCTATTCTAAAACACATCTTTGTGTATTGAAATATATAATGAATTTCTACATTTATGCAAGTAAACTTTAAGATGAATGAGAAAATAATGAGCAAGAAACAAATATCCCAACTCTCGAGATCTTTACCCTCTAGTCAAAAAAAAAAACAAAAAACAAAAAGACTTCAGTCTAATTATATCTTTCGTTTGCTCTAGAACTCTTCACTTTGTTCCCATGATGGATGGAATTAACAACAAAGTTTCAATCATAATATCTAAGACCCCATATGACTCTCTCCCATATTTACTAATCAGTCACTAATAAGATACTTTAATTGTTTCTTTGTTTTATAAACAATACAATCACAACTCAGGAAATCTGGTCAAGTAAAACTTATTTTGCCCTGTTTATCTCCTTTTCTGATTATGCACTTCTATCAAGATTCAGCTCAATTACTAACTTTTACAGCTTTTTTCATGTCTCAGTTGGAGTTAATTATACCTTCAAGGTACTTAAACTTCTTTTGTTTTATACTTATATTCTTATTCTTATACATCTTTTATCCATTCAATAAACAGTTCAATCTATTCAATCAATCTTTAGTATACACTATATACCAGCATAGAGACTATAGCAAGGATCAATAACACATTAGCCCTAGTGTCTGCCTTTGAGCAGCACACATCTAGTGGCAGAAACAGACACAGACACAGTATTTAAGGGTGGTATCCAGGGTAATGCATGGATCAATGGGGGCAGCACTCCCACTGAGGATGAAGGAAAGATTCCAATAGAAGGATTTGTAAGAGTCAGCCTGGCGAAGATGAAAGAAAAAGTCATTCTACAGGCAAAAGTCTTTAAAGGACATTTGGCAACTAGTTTTAAAAGTATGAGGGAAGACCAGATTCCAGAGTTTCTTGATATATTATGAAACAGGTTTATCCTATAAAAAACTGGGAGTCACAGAAAATAAGTGAGTGACACAGACAAATCACTTTTTCAAATATATCATTCAGGCTGGAGTCTGCACAATGCGTTGGAGGAGATTAACACTGGAAACAGGTAAAGGAGCTAAGTAGTCTCAGTG